GCTGCTTCCTCCCAGTGCACTTACTGTGATGGTTAAACACGTATTGGGGTCTGAGATCTGGTGTTGTGCATTACAGCTGGGACACGACACTCAAGAGCTATCCTGTGGGAAACTTTAAATCAGAAAATTGCAAAGCTGCCCGGCAAAAAGCTTGAAAACATTTTCGTTTCCCACAAAGGCCGTGAGAGGCTTTGAATGCCAAAATCCTTTACAATGCTAAGTTTCAAAAGATGTATTTCGCTCTGTAAACAGGAATGCATTTGCCACAGCTCTGGAAAAGAGGCTTAGCATAATAGGACAGTCTCAGATACTAATGGAATCAGTGAAGATACAAATAAGGTAGGGATTAATCTAAATGTCTACTAAGCCTATCATTAGGAGGGCCTTATACACAACCCTGAACTGAGAACGATATGGAAATTACCAGCAATTTGGCCTCTTCTTCCTTCAGCCGCTTCTCCTCCTCTTTGTGAGCACTGAGCGCCGCTACCTGGGCGCTGAGCACATGCAGGATTTCCTGATTTCTGATTTCTGCATCTCCATCACCTCTTGCTTTTCCTTCGCCAACCTGTTCTCTTTCCACAGCTCTGCAAATATTTTCTCCTCCTCCTTCTGTTTCTTTTTCAACTCCTCCTTCAGAGCTAGCTGGGCCAGCTGGTCCTCGCACAATTGCACCTGGTGCTTCTTTATCCACTCCAAACGAAGCTCATCACTTTGTTGCCTGAAAGGCAACAGGAAAGTTGAAAAATAAAATAAAATAAATCTAATAAGCAATCCTGGAGGAGTGTGATGGAGGCTTTTCCATCTTAAAACATATAACACACATGCATACTACATTTGCTCAAACACGTAGGTAGCTCTTTATTCAAATGAAGCCTTGGAATAGGTTTATTTGTCACTTAAAAGCTCATTCATATTCAGAAAATACTCCGAGACTGGAAATTTAGGTTACACAATTGAACAAGAACCACTAGAAATTCAGTAATTTTTTTAAATTATTTTTTTGTGGGATAATTCAGAAAAGCTGCAATGAAAGTCTGGAAAAGCTAGGAAGTCAAACAAGTAATGCAGCTTTCAATTTTCATTTACTCACTGCAACCAAGTTGCATATAAACAGGGATCTACCTTCAGTTGAAGAACACTCAACTATTTACAGATTCTGCTTTCATTTTCGCAAACAAAGCACTGCTGAGATCAACACATGCTATTAAACCACGTTTAATCTGAACAGTATACAAGCCCTTTCATTCTGTTCTATAACCAGGATACAGATTTTCATAAAATCAAGATGTGAAACTAGCAGACAATGAAGATCTGCAAGCATTAAGGATCTGTAAGCTCTGAAGATGTGCAGTAGACACACAGGAACAATGAAGTAATAAAATACCTCGCAATTTCACACTGAATGAAACCATCTTCTGCAGATTATTGCAACGCTGTTTAGGAATTCATAGCAGACATAGTAAAGTATCATTGCCTTAATCTTGAACCACTGCATAACAGCAGTAGTTACAGTGTGAAGTACTATTACTGTACACATTTAGCTGACAATCCCACGTAGCAAAAATACTCACTGTTCATCAAGCAACTATCTCAGGGTAAGATCAGTCTTCAAATCAGGATAGTTATTTAATTTTCACAATGACAGCAATGAAACAAAATCTGAATCCATTCCATTGCCTAAGATTTTAGGGTTGTTTTTTTTTTCAGTTAAAAGCAAAATTAAGTTTTCCAGCACTAAAAGTAGCTGTTTGGTGGTTGCTTTCCCATGTTCTGTGGTCTTTGCAAAGTTGTAACTTTTCTAACAGAATCTTAAGTCCAGTACAAGTGCTGTCTCCATCTAAACCCACACCTATATTCCCCGACCTGGGTTTCGGGTATAGAATTAATAGGAATGTTATTCTCCATCTAGGGGAATGGATTCACACCTCTATGGAGACGACAAAACTGATGTATATTTGGCTTCTCCCCGAGGTTAATTGCTATATCCACTGCCAATGAGGCAAACAGATGTAACTGGTGGTCTATAACTCATTTCTGCCCCAAACCCAGCAAGATGATGCTCTAGAATAGTGGTTTCTTTACTTGACACTGCTCCTTCATCACCTCCTTCGTAGACTGAGCACAGCTCCTGGTATCTTAATATACAGCTGAGGCAACTACCAGTGTGTAATAATTATGTGTTGGCTTATAAGACCTTCCAAAGCTTTACCAATAAAACTCCAGCCTAGTAAAAATTACTTAGGGCTTGTAAACCGCAAAGAGTATTTCCTCAAATTGCTCTCCTCCTGTTCAGGACCAGTGGAACAAGCTGCTGACAGACAGAAAAAGTGACAGTGCTGAGCCCTGTTCTCACAGCAAGAGCCATCCAAGCACTCAGACATACAGTGGAGCGGTGCAAAATCAGAGCTGTGACCCCGGAGGGGAAGGACTGCTACATCTCTCTCTTCATCCCCTATCTGTAAAGCACCCAGGGACACAGAGGCAAGTGCTAAGTGCTATACACACAATAAAAGGGAGAGCAGCATCACGAAAACAAAATTCTCATTTTGTTTGATATCCAGGAGGCGTTTCTCACCTCTTAACTGTTCCCGTCCGAGAAGAAACAGCAGTAATTTGTCAAGTCCCCTTTCATCAACACCAAGTCTTTACAAGATAAAACCTGCCACACTTAGCACTTTTCTCCTCAAATCCTAGGATGCACCACATCTTCTAACTAAATGTTGCGTTCCTCCACAAGAGCTGGGCTTGTACCCTCTTGTCCTGCTTTACTGGGATAGAATATTGGAATCAGTTTTCAGTTTGGGAAAGCTGCATTTCCACCAAGACTGCAATGCTCAAATCTCATGGAAACAAAGCTGATAAGGGACATTTTTTTCGTATCTTGGCCAGCCCTGTTATGTGGTGCTCAAGGTCAAGATGAATACTTACAATTCTTACAATTTAACACTGGGATCCCTCTTCCAACTCCTGGGTAGGAGTTTGTGGTGATAACAGGCCACAGGATGAAATAATATTAACAAAAACATATTTCTCATATGTTCTGGTTATTAGGATTTGAAATCTTACACCGTTAGAAAGAATTGTATTACCTTAACACAACGGGATCAAAGTTCTCTCAGCAGTGAAGGAATAAGAATTATTCTTTTTCATTATTATAAACTAATCTGAATTTAATTGAATTCTCAGAGGGGAAGGGAAGTTAAATAAAAGTTCAGCATGGTTAGAATTTTAATAGAAAATAACCCTGTAATTGCTTGATTTCATCAAAATAATTCCTTCAAAGCAGCTTTTACAGCAACCTATAAACATCTGCTCTCCCAGATGGCTGTTTTTCTTCCTCACTTTGCCATTTAAGCTTCTTAATGTTAAAATTGTGCCTGTGTGTAGCCACTTCCCAATGACAGAAACTGCATTTATTCTGCCACCTCCCAGTTATTTCTGCATTTTACGGCTGCAGTACAAAGTTGCTGTGATAACAACATTCTCTCTGTGGATGCTTCTGAAGTTACCACAAGAAAGAGGATGCAATACGTTTTATGCAAATCTTAAGACACTGCAATTTGCTTTAAAGATACCAATGATGAACACACCCTTGGGCTAAAACTGGCCGAGTATCTTTTCATATAAGCTGTAGCCCTTCACAAAAATTAATTCCAGTGGCCCAAGGACTGGGCCCTCTCTGACCTTGTGACAAAGGACTCATCCTGACTAACACCACTACCGAAAAGCTGTTAAATCTATAACCTGAGGCTGCAGCCCCAACTAATAGAGAACGTTAAAAATAAAACTATTAATTAAAAATTATAACAATTGAAAACAAAACCAGTGTTTATTTCATCTTTACCTCATCCTCTTTTTATTTCTTTTGTGCTGTACGTCAGGGATCGAATGAGCTAGACCTTCTGGAGATGGCAGCCACTGGAAGAAAAAGACTGTCCCCAGCAAAAGCCCCAATTTATAGCAAGTGTGATGGTTATGGAATACAATACCTTCTGATATATTCTGTTGCCCAGCTTGGATCACACTTGGGTTTCCTGGCTATGTCCCCTCCCAACTTCTTGTGCAGAAAGAGAAAAAAAAACAAACCCGAAAGACTGGGGAGCACAGGGGCAGGCAAAAAAAAATTAGAAACAGTCCTTGAGTTGGTTATCGCCAAGTTATGTTTACACCAAAACATCAGCGTTATCAACATCCTCCTCAGAATTCTTTCAAAATAAAGTCTCACCAGCTACTTGAGGAAAATAACTATTTCAGCCAAAAACCAAAAGCAACTTGTTTTCACTGAATCCAACACTGTGGTTCTCTCAGAAATGCAGATCTCCTGAATAGAAAACTGAATTTTATGATTCAATCCCAGTGAAACGAGGACATATGCACAGTCAAAAAGGTTTGGAGACCATTTGGATGGCTTAGGAAGAAGAGTAACAGGTAACAAGGAGGGGTGGGAAACAGATTTGGGACTACTTAAAGATGACAAGTATATTCAGATTCATATATTAGAAGTTGCTAAATCTAACCAGAACTGACCGCCACAGTAGAGATTTCCTCTCTCATTGAAAAACGACAGAGAAGACTTTAAGATATTTATAAGCGTATACCTGAAGAAAAGTATCTGTCTTGCAAAGGAGAGATCATCAGAAATAGGATTTGAGACATTAAGACAGGCAACTGCAGCATAGAAGTCCAAGTACGTATCATCAGATGATGAGATTCACTGGGATTCATTTTGCAATTGAAATAGCTGAAATCAGGCATCTAAAGAGGAATTCACACGTGATTTAAAATCCATTTCTAACCAGGGGGACCTAACCAATGCAATTAGTAGAGGCTGGGTGCAGCTCAGCTGACAAACCAGTATGTGTCTGCTCTAGGCCTACTTTAGGTTCCTTTAACTCCTGATCTCAACAAAGATTCACTGAGTAGAACACGATTTCAGATTCCCAGTGAATATAAAGATACCAACACTTCAACACTTACCTTTAGGTGTCTAAATCTCAAGCTGAATACCTTCTCCTTGGCATGTAAGACAAGCTACAAGTACAAAATGAAAGGCACTCCACACTCTAAACATGAATTTCAAACACTTTGTGTGATGGGTGGAGAACAAAGTAGGAATTATAAATTGCAAGGGCCCTACGTAGAAGCCAGCATGTGAGTTTAGAAGTGCTCACACTGCTTTAACACCTTTCTTGATCTATAAACCCCGTATTTAAGAAACCAAAATTTATCTGTGAAATTAGTTAATTAGAGTTTACACACAAGAGAAAACAAGTGTTGATTTTTATCCCCAGCCTCTGCACACTGAGAAGCAGGTGTCATGGATTTCCATAGCACTGTGGGAGACTCAGAAGAGACACTTCAAGTGATCACAATTAAGTTACATTAATATTATTTTCATCTCTTCCTCAGAAAACCAGATTTCCAAGAAATGAACAGCTCAGATTTCATGCCAAGGCCTCAGGGCCTGATAAGCAATGACAAATCTTAATGACTTCAAAAAACGCTGCCAAGCTCAGCATCCAGGAAGACTTGGCACAGCACTTCAGGCTGCGTTAAACCCTTTAGCTTTGGCTTGTGTGCGATAAATAAAAACATTGTCTTTTTGAACAGTCTTACCTTTCCAAGGATCTTCAATGTATCAGCTTAATAAACATGATTTAGCCCAAATTAACCTTTTATGAACCCTTTTCAGTCCAATAATAGAAAGCTGAAATAAAACCATATGCCAGCACAAAAACAGCTGACTTGGATGCTCACACAGGGCGAGGCTTTTGGCACTGCAGCTGCAAAAATACGCTCATGGTATCTCAACACTTCAATCAAATAATGGAGATGGGACAGTTCTCTGTACCTGTTGCCTTCATCTCTGTTAATAAAAACATTTCTCAAACACTTTACTGAGCATTATGCCATCACAAATTTGAATCCCTGGTCTTTTTAGGCTGCACTCATTCATCAAAAGTCAGAAAAGGACTTTACTCTGCTCCACTGCAAGCAACATAGCTTCTAGCAAAGCTCATAAACCTCTACCTAAACCACATGATTTTTAAGTGTTTTATCATTTAAACTGCTTTCACCTCTCCTTCCTCAGATTATTACTGACACCTTTTTGTCAAATTGCCTCTTTGTATTTACTTAACCCAAATTCTATTTTATGAGATACCTGAATTGCTGCTCTCTTTTTTCAGCCACCAGCTGCTGTCTTTCTTTTTCTCTCTTCTCTCTCAGGAATTCCACTCGCTCCCTCATTTTCTCTAGTTTCTCCTCTTTTCTTTCCTCAAGTGCCTCCATCTCAATGACGTACTTACTTTCCTCTGCCTTCAGAAGCTCACGAAGCCTGCAATGAAAATATTTCAATAAAAGCTAAAACAATCCTTCTACTGAACGATAAAGTTTATTTGTTATTAGTGAAAAATGGGCTCCTTTCTACACTTCTTTCTACACTTCTGAGATTTTAGCTCAGAGATGACTCCTGTCGTGCCCATGGAGGGGATCTTGCAGCACAAGAAAAATCACAGAGTCACAGAATATGAGGAGTT